GAGTGTGGATGACACTCTCTCTCTAATCTCATGTATTATATTGTTACTAGCTGGTCTTTTAAACTATGTATTTGTATAATAATAATAATAATAATAATAATCATCATATATCACTATATAGTTGTCTTCTTATTTTAATAAACCATCTGATCTGTCCAAGTGTAGACTGGGACAAATACTTCTTCTAGTCAATAGGTGAAACTCTGAATAACAACATGTTTCAGGTCCTGTTTCAGTTGTCTGACGATCACATAGCAACTCTGAGTAACAACATGTTTCAGGTTCTGTTTTAGTTGTCTGAATATCGCATAGCAACTCTGAGTAACAACATGTTTCAGGTTCTGTTTCAGTTGTCTGACGATCACATAGCAACTCTGAGTAACAACATGTTTCAGGTTCTGTTTTAGTTGTCTGAATATCGCATAGCAACTCTGAGTAACAATATGTTTCAGGTTCTGTTTTGGTTGTTTTATGATCAGATAGCGTCTCTGAGTAACAACATGTTTCAGGTTCTGTTTTAGTTGTCTGAAGATCGCACAGTGTGAAACTCAAGGTAGGGGCTGAAAACCTAGACACCCAATAGGTCTGTTTCCGCATAGGATGGGATATCAGTGATGCAGTGCTGACATCAAAAAGCGTCCAGATGTTCTGATTAGACAATAAAGTGAGGCTTTCACTTTTTACCACGCGTGGCATATTGCCGTTTGAATGGATATTCGCTATTTTCCACGCGTGGTAAATATCTCTTGCCCCCTTGTCTTTTTATTCCAAAATAAATGGCAAATGTCATGGAAAAGCAAATAAAAAAACTGCTGAAGAAGTCAACAAACATGGTGTTATGTTCTTTAAAGTTTGAGTTGTTTTGATGAGAGCAAATACGATATGTGCGCTCATTTATCATTTAACAAATCGCTCTACTTTCATTTTGGTTTGAACTCTTGACCCCAACCTTGAACTCTAGTCACATGTTGTGGATGTGACGTCAGATGTTAGACCAAAACATTGGAGAAGTTATCACTCTTAAGCGAAGTCTGTCTGAATTTCGCTCTTATTTTTTTACGTCTGTTTGAAAAATTTCGTCCAAAATGAAGTCGGAACTTCAGGAAAGCCTGGGGAAAACTTTTAAACAAAGGAAAAGCTTCGGTAAGTCCTTGTTTTTCACAAAACATGGCCCTAAATGTGTCATTTTTTTTCTTTTAAGTTGAAGCCCATTCATGATGAAAATGGACACCCCCTTACATTTAAAGTAAGCCATCGTCTGGCAAATTGAATCAACAAAATAGTTAACTGAGCTAAATTAGGGTGACAAATGGGTCAGATGATAACAGATACTATACTATCCTGTAGTTTTTATTTTAATTGTAAAATTTGTTCACTTTTGACAGTTTTTGTGACAAAATGTCACCTGATTTTTTTTCTTTAAAAAAAAGATAAAAGGTAGCTTAATCTGTCAAGTAACTTTACATCATTTGATTTAGGATCATCTGGACACAAGGAGTTGACTTATGTCTGCAGTATTTGATAATACCAAAATAAAGTAGAGGTCTACTGACTGTTAAGATCTTTCCCCATAAATGTCAGGCTTGCGTAAATTGTGTTGAAATGTTATGAACTTTTTTATTTATTTATCAGTATGTGCTCTCTGCTTCTAAATGTCTGCCAAATTTTATATCTCTGACCCACAGGCATCTGTTTTTACCGATAGTCGACTCTCTCTATAATAGAGATGGTCGACTATTGATAGAAACAGATGCCTGTGCTCTGACCTAATCAAGAAATTGAACAGAATAATAATTCTGTATAAACCTATGTCACAACATTTTATTTGTATTTTTTAGCCACAAGAAAAGAAGAAGTTGGTGGAATCAGATCAAAATTCCCCACCAAAATTCCTGTAAGTTCTTAGAAACTGTTAAGACTTAATGTTATTTAGTAATTATTGGGAGATGATGTTTCAATCCAAGAAAAAAAAGGGAAAATAACGATTCTGAAACCCAGACAGGAGGCCTACTTAATGGACTAAAGATTTATTCAACTTTGACAGTTTTGATAACTGCTTCAATTTCCACTTTTGAAAATATTTATTTGTTGTTTTGTTGTAGGTTATAGTAGAAAGATATCATAAAGAAAAACAGTTACCCATTCTGGATAAAACAAAATTTCTCGTCCCCCAGGAACTTTCAATGTCTCAATTTGTTACAATTATTAGGTAAGTAGACAGTTTGGAGAAATCCAAATATAAAATGTAATGATATCTTGAAAATAATGACAGTATACCTGATT